AAAATCCATCAAACCCTAAAGAGCACTACTCCATAGATATGGAGCAATTCATCACAAATATAATTAAAGTATAGGAAAACATAAATTCGATCCAAATTCTGGTCTCGAGTGAGGAAGGAATGATGAAATCCTTGTGCTTTTGCTCCTCCAACTCCTTCTTAGCCTCCTTAGATCTAAAGTATGTCAAAAGTCCAGAAAATAATGTTTTTCCATGTATTTATACTAAGTAGGGTCGGGACCAAAGGAAATCACCCTTTCCTAGCTGAAATAGGAAAACTTGCAAACTTAATGCTTTTCATGCGTCACACTATGCTATGCCCAGTGCAATTTTCACGGTCGTAAACTCTCTGAACTTAGCTTGTATGATAGAATTTTGTACTGATGCTACGCACTATGCCTAGCATTAGTGTATCTTTCTACCAGAGTTCAGAAACCCATCCTCTGAACTTTGTCAATCTTCTGACATAAATTTACCCTATTGTGTCGCACTATGCGTTGCCCAGTGCGTCGTACTAGTGCATTTCTTCGGTTGTTGCTTCTTCCTTAATTTTTGACATCCAGAAGTGATCCTCGACCCCCGAACATGATCCCAAATTAATTATTTGGGCTTTTACTCAGACTTCAAAGCTCAAAATAGCTCGAATTAGTTCCACAACATCTACATAACTCAGAATCATTCCTACACGACATAAAATACACAATAAATGCAAAATACTACCAATTAATGCTCAACACAAGTAAAGTGCAGTGAATTAGAGTGCAATAAGCGACTAAAATACGAGATTATAGCCTATCATCAACTTCCAATTTAAACCAATAGCTATCATAAAAAGGACTCCGCAATACAGCTAAACATAAATCCCAAAATTTGGTGATACTGAGTCATAAGATCTACATGAGTATACTGAAATATCCATATACAACAGTATTTATAAAATGAGAATGAAATAGAAACTAGATAGAGGGTGACTCCGAGGCCTGCGAACGCCGGCAAGTATACCTTGAAGTCTCCGGTCCAAGCTCAACTCATGGATGCCTAACCTAGTATGAAGTACCTGGATCTCACAACATGCTAACTCAATCCGCTAGTAAGCCTTTTTCTCGAATATCCAACTTCGAACGGCTCGAATCCCAATCAACTCCTTGAATATCTCTTTTAAAAATCGCCCCAAACCGCTTTCTCTAGCTCAAAATATGAAAAATGGAACAAAATCCTCGATTTGGAAATTAAATACTGCTGCCCAGTGATTTTCTTTCGCGATCACAAAAACACACTCGCGATCGCGGAGAACAAATTCTCCTAGCTCACAAAACCTCCTTCGTGATCGCGTGTGCTCAGTCTTGAACACGGATAACAGTCTTCCTAAGCTATGCAATCGTATTGCAGACCTCACAAAGTAGAAGAGCGCGTGCCTCAGCCCCAACTTCTCCTTCCTTATATGCGAACGCGGTCCCAAGTATGTGTTCGTGATGCAAAAACTTTTTGACCTTCGCGATCGCATCCCAGAATTTGCAATTGTGAAGGGTAAAATTCCATCAGCCTCAAACTACCCTACGTGATCGCGGCACATCCTCCGTGGATGCGATGAAATAAACCAGAACTCAGAAACCAACAATCCCATTTCAAGAACAGTTGGTCCGAACTCAATCCGAAACATACCCTGGTCCCCCGGGACCTCGTTCGAACATACCAACAAGTCCCAAAATATAATACAAACCTGCTCGAAGCCTCAAATCACATCAAACAACACCAAAACTACGAATCACACATCGATTTAAGCCCAAAGAACTTATGAACTTCTAACTTCTAAAACTAATGCCGAAACATTCCAAACCAAATCCAATTGACCTCAAATTTTGCACACAAGTCATAATTGACACAACAAGCCTATTCTAACTTTCGGAACCGAAATCTAGATCTGATATCAATAAAGTCAACCCCTGATCAAACTTCTCAACCTTCCAAACCTTCAGCTTTCTAACTTTTGCCAATTCAAGCCGAAACGACCTACGAACCTTCAAATAAATATTCGGACACACTCCTAAGTCCAAAATGATCATACGAAGCTATTGGAACCGTTAAAACTCCACTTTAGAGTTGTCTACAGAAAAAGCAAACTCCGGTCAACTCTTTTAACTTAAACTTCCAACTTTGGGACTAAGTATCCCATTTTACTCTGAAACTCACCCGAACCAAAACCAAATACCCCGGAAAGTCACATAACCACAATATAACATAGATGAGGCAATAAATCGGGGAACAAGGCTAAAATACTCAAAATGACCGACCGGGTTATTACATACTCCCCCACTTAAAATAAATGTTCATCCTCGATCGAGTATAGAGACATACCTGAAGTGGTGAAAAGATGAGGATAACGGCTACGCATATCATGATCGGTCTCCCAATTGACCTCCTCGACTAGTTGACCCCTCCACTGAAACTTCATTGAAGCGATGCTCTTTGACCTCAACGTTCGGACCTGCCTATCCAAGATGGCCATCGACTCCTCAACATAAGACAAATCCTTGTCCAATTGCATTGAGCTGAAATCTAACATATGAGACAGATCATCATGATACTTCTGGAGTATAGAAACATAGAATACCGGATGAACTGCAACTAGACTAGGTGGAAAGGCAAGCTTGTAGGCCACCTCACTAATTCTCTCAAGAATCTCAAAAGGTCCGATATACTTGGGGCTCAACTTGCTCTTCTTCCCGAACCTCATAACACCCTTCATGGGCGAAACGCGGAGCAAGACCCGCTCTCCAACCATAAATGCAACATCACAAACCTTCCTATCCGCATAGCTCTTCTGTCTAGATTGGGCTGTACGAAGCCGATCATGGATCAACTTGACCTTCTCCAAGGCATTGCGAACCAAATTCATGCCTAATAACTTAGCCTATACCGGCTCAAACCAACCAACTAGGAAACAACATAATCTCCTATATAGGACCTCATAAGAAGCCATCTGAATACTCGATTGGTAGCTGTTGTTGTAGGCAAACTCCGCAAGTGGTAGGATCTGATCCCAAGAACTCTTGAACTCCATAACACAGATACGAAGCATATCCTCCAATATCTGAATGGTGCGCTCGGGCTGTCCGTCCGTCTAGGGGTGGAATGTTGTACTCAACTCAACCAGTGTGCCTAAGTCACGCTGTACGACTCTCCAAAAGCGTGATGTAAATTGCGTACCCCGGTTAGAGATAATGGATACCGGTACACCATGAAGTCGGACAATCTCGTGAATATAGACCTGAGCGACCATCTCAAAAGAGTAGGTAGTCACCACCAGAATGAAATGAGCCGACTTGGTCAACTTATCCACAATCACAAAATCCATAGTAATTCGCTCCCATTTCCACTCGGGAATCTCAAGTCTCTAAAGCAAAACACCTGGCCTCTAGTGCTCATCTTCAACTGCTGATAATTTAGGAATCGAGCAACATACTTCTATATTATATGCTATATAATATACTTTTACCCAAGTATTTTACTTATAATTAAAATAACTTAATATTATTTTATTTATTATTTTTATAGTATATTCGTACACTTAATTTTTCTTAATATTAATTTTCAAGATATATAAGTAGTATTATTAAATTTGTCAGTAACATTACCGTGAACAAATATCAAGTCCATGTTCTTAATCATGCTTAATGAAATATGTTTAATGAAAATTAAAAAATCAAAGCTCATTGATTTATTAGCGAAGCCATACCCGTTAATTTAATAAATAAAATACTCACATTTAGCAAAATGACATATCAGATAATACTTTTAAATAAATAATATTAACAAACAAAGCTTTAAAAAGCTTAATATTAAACATAAATATCTTTGGAACTTAAAACTATCATTTGTTAAACAAATTTATTTTTATTATTTTAAATAAATATTTTTTTATCATTTTTATATTTGAAATATGTTCATGTTTAAATATGATTAAAAACATTGAGTGCCATGGAAAAATTAAATGTATGGATATATTATAAAGAAAATAAAAAAATAATTTAAAGTTATTTTAATTATAAGTAAAATACCTAGGTAAAAATATATTATATAGTATATAATATATAAGGTATGATATAAATGAGAGGATTATTGTCAAGGACATAATAGACTTTTCAAGTAAAAGTATTATAAAATCTGGTCAAGGTGACTTTTATGATAAATAGAGCAAAACAAAATAATTTTTGTGTAACAAAAAAAAAGAAAAATGACTTTTGAGTAATGAACACAAAGTTGAATGATTTTTACGTAACAAAAAGAAGAAAAATGACTTTTGCGTAATGAACACAAAGTTGAATGACGGTCCATAAAATTTACTCAACTTTCAACTTTGGAACTAAGTGTCCCATTTCACTCAGAAACTCACTCGAACCAAAACCAAATACCCCCGCAAGTCACATAACCACAAATATAACATATAGGGGGCAATAAATAGGAGAACGGGACTAAAATACTCAAAACGACCGGTTGGGTACTCATAGTTTGGCACACAAAGTCAGTCCTTTTTGACAAATTTTTGGTGAACCAAAATTTATCCAAAAAAGTTGCTTTCTTTCCCAACTTAAGAGGTCCTTTTTCTACACTTAGACACACATTTTACACATCTTTTACACTCTATAAGAACACATTTTTAGAGAACAAAAACACAGTCTTTATAGAGAAAAGAACCAAAAATGTAAGCTGCAAACTTGAGAGATGTTTGAGTGATTTCTTCTCAGAAAACCTTACAAAAATACTTGAGTTCTTGAAGAGTAGTCTTGGTTTTCTTCCTCTTCTCGAGTTGTTTTTTTTTTTTTTTTTTTTTTTTTTTTCGTTCGTTTCGGGTTAATTCGCTGCTGGTTGGGCTGTTGCTGTATTTCTGTTTCTTGTTGAGTTGCTGTCCGCTTCAATGCAAAGTCTTGCCTTGCTTTAGCTTCCGCTTCTAGCTGTTGAAATCTGACTTAGTGTTGCTGAAATTTCTGTTTCTGCTGTCCAGGTAATTCTCTCGAAACACTAATGTAATTTACGATCGAAGGATGAATGAAATATGGAATTATTTGAGCTTCTTTAGCTTACCCTAGGCCTTGAATACATTCTGCTCAGTGCTCATGAATGGTTTAATAGTATGTTGTTCGGTTAACTTTAATAAGTCTTTTGTTACTCTACTTCCTTGAAAGCTTAAAGTTGGTATTTTGTTGATCCTTTTGTGAAAGTTAAGAATTTTATTTATTCTGTTTTGAATGCTCGAGTCGAATCTATGTTGCTATGTTTGTTTACCCGAAAAATGGGTAGAGTTGAATTTGTACGTAGTTCTAAGGGTACGTGATATAACTTGACACAAATCGTAAAAATAAGTAGAAATATCGAATATTGACGGTAAAGAATGAAATACAAACCAAGTTGAATGGAGAATACTTTATGGATAAGCTAGCTGAGTCAATGTATAAAGCTCAAAAGGATAATCTCCCCAAAATGAGAGTGTCTCAATAATATCTGAGTTATATTGTATCAATGCCTTGATGATTCCTCCCTTTATAGAAATAATAGCAATCCTTCTTATAGTGGAGAGATCCTACTTTGAATATAATTAAAAATACATAGTGGAGAACCCATGATAGATTAGCTTTTCCCTGATTCCCGCCGAGATTTTCTCCCTTAGTGAACGACTCTTGTCCCTTAGCTCGATCTTGATCGAACTCGATATTGACTTGAGCTCGATATTGACTCGGGGCCCGATACTGACTTGGGCTCGATACTGACTTGGGCTCGATATTGGTCTGTCTCTGGCTCTTAAGCTCGATAACTACGCTTCACATCATAGCTCGATATTAGATCGAGTTCGACAATGACTTCGAGCTCGAAATTCGATCGGTTCCTAAAACACGAGCTCGATGACCTGGCTTCAGATCTCATCATGATATTACGAAAACGCTCCTCGGTCTACTATGTTCCAATTTTAACTAATCATACGAAGGTCGAAACCTGTTTGACCATATTGCTCCTCGGTCTATTTTGCTTTTCCTTGTTCCCTCTTTTAGGTTTTTCTTTTCTTCTCTTTCTCTTAATTTTTTATTTTCATCTTTGTATTCTCTCTTTATACAGTTTCATTTTTATTAGTTATTTAAATTATAAAATTAAATTTATTTCTATTTTCCTTTTCTAAATCTCAAATTTTGAAATTTCAATATGTTTTAATCATTTTTCTTTTGATTGGGTTAATGCTATTTTTTTCTTTAAGGACCAACATTTTTAGTTTGGTTATCATGTGTGTATTTATGCACCAAAAATCTTATGAAGCGAACCAAATTAATTAAAAAATAGAACGAATCGGATCGAACCGAATCGAGTTAATTCAAAACTGAGCGAACTAGTCAAATGCATACCCTAATTCGATCTTCTTGACTAGAGGTAAGTTTACATTAAAGACAGTGACACCTGTAACCATCAAATCCTGGATTCACCTCTAGTGTCAATTGACTCCCCTTGCCAATGAGTGATCCGCCACTGACTGACATGATGCCAAACTTTTATTAAAAGACAAAGCAAATACCTTCATCTCTGAGATTCGAATTGCTCAAGAATAAAGTCATGAAGCCATGACGTTTGGTTTGCTTATTTGGACTGTTTGTATGAATTTCTCAAATGGCTGTTTGATAATCTTTAGTTCACTTAAAATTAAAGTATCTATTATCGCCATGTTTGGATGTTTGCTGCTAAGTCATGGATTTTAGTTTAGTTTTGCGTGTTTGTCTCATTATTCCTCTTCGGATTCGAATAAAGGCTAGCTTTATCGAGTTTCAAAGAATGCCTCAAGTTACATTTATTTTCTTTCCTCCAGTAGTATTTTTAGTTATTTTTTTTTCAGTTGAGTGTTCTCTCACTTTCGTTATTATGTTTTCTGTGATTAGGTACCTTAAATATTTTATTATATTATTTTGTTCATTTTATTTTTGAATTTGATTCTTTATAAAATATCAGAAGCAGGATTCATTCTTGTATGATAATGGTCTAAATTTGACCCCTTTCCTTTTAAGTTGGCCTAACGTCAATAACTATGTGGGACTTTTTCGTATATATACAAAATTTTAAACTTATTTATCCGATTTTGTCTAAGTTTTAATATTTATGGATTACCATAGTTTCCAATTCAATCTACTCACTTCTAATTAATACTATTTTTCCTATTGATTCCAAAAAGCTAAAAGAACTATAACTAAAATGATTCTCTTCGTCAAAGCTAATTTCTTTCTTATTTACTTCCTCGTTTAGGATGTGAAGCAAGAACTTTGCTAGGTACTAATCTTCTGTCACGAGCCCAATTTCCCACCGTAGGATGTTATGATGACACCTAATCTCTACGATTAGGTAAGCCTAACAGTTAATAACAACTTGACAGAAATAATTAACAAAATATTAAAGCAAGGCTGAATAACTGATATAAATTCCTAAAATAGAATCTCAACAAAATACTTTCTAAAAAATGGTGGAACTCAGTCATAAGCTCTACAGAGTAAAACTAGAATATCTACTACATCACTGTCTGAAAGAAATTATAACAAGAAGTAAGGATAGGCAAGGTGACGTCGAGGCTTGCGCATGTGGAGAGCAGGTATACCTTGAAGTCTCCTAAAAACAACAACTCAATCAACCCAAGAGTCCGGCACGGGTAGACGTACCTGGATCTGCACCGAAAGATGTGCAGAATCGTAGTATGAGTACACCATAACGATAACCAGTAAGTATCAAGCCTAACCTCGGTAGAGTACTGACGAGGCCAGGTCAAGACACCTACTAGGATAAAAATAAATAGTATGAAACGTAATAAGGATAAATAGTGGAAAGTGGATAAATAACTGACGCGAAACAGTTAACAACATGAACAAATACCGGAATTGTAAGCACGAAAATAACATAAAGAAATCAGTTAAAGAGAACCATAATGACCATAAGCGGGCAATAACTGACAAAAACCGGAAGAACAAAACAATAAGAACCACAACGAGATACCGCTTCATGTACAATAAGAATCACTACCGAGGTACCGCCTCATGAATACATATCAAGAATCACAACCGAGGTACTGCCTCGTATTCACAATTCACAATCACAATCCCTCTTTATACCACCGCGTGATCCTTACATTTGAAATAGGTTTGAAAACAGTTCCCGTAATAGCTACACGCACTTTAGCCCACCTTATGACGCCTCATGGCTTCACGTAGTTCCCCTACAAGCAACACGCACATAAGTCCCACCTTATACTGCCGCATGCATATTAAAACCAAGCCTTATACTGCAGCATGCGCGTCAATATCACATTGCAATAACAACTCGCACCACAAGTGCCCATATATGACAACTTGCCAATCAACAATATCAATATTGTAACAACAATAGCCCATGGCTCCACTACAACGGGTACAAGAATATCAACAACAACAATGAATGTAAAATGCTCAACAAGGAAGATGTTTCAACAATAATGATTTCGCCTCAGCGTGATAACGACTTCCACAACTTCAATACCAATAACTCAACAGTGAGATAATGTATAACCACGATATTAAATAAGAAACTCACAATAGAAGAGATAACGTATAACAATGACTTCAAATAATGAAAATCAACAAGGAAATGGATACCATGAACAAGTACTTCAAGTAATGATAATCAATAATGAAGGAGATAATACGGACAATAACTTCAAATAATGATTGTGAACAATGAAGAGATATCATGTAACAATAAAAGGAGCAACAAGTTCAACTAAAGCATGAGAGCAATTTATTAAGTAGGATGTAGAATAAGTGTTAAACAAGTCAATTAAGGCATATAAGGATAGATCAACACAAATAAGTATAGATTGACTATGAGAATTTAGAACATGATATGACATTTCAATTAAAATATGAAAATAGTCTAAGTAGCATAAACCGGTCAAATACCACGTACAACCCGTGTACCCACTCGTTACCTTGCGTACACGACTTTCATATAGCACAAATGAATTAACCAATACCGATCCTAAGGAGTATTTTCCCCACACAAAGTTAGGCAAGACACTTACCTCAACTAGGCCAATTCAACCCTCGGAAATAGCTTTTCCCTTAAAATTCACCTCCACATGGCCCAAATCTTACCAAAATCGACTTAATATCATCAAACAATGCTAGGAAAATCAATTACAATAGATAAAGATAAGATCTTTATACTTTTTCCAAAAAGTCAACAAAAGTCAACCCGTGGCTCGCCCGATCAAAATCCGGGTCCAAATCGACTCTCAAAACTCAATTTCTTATTTTTTAAAAATGTGACAAAGTTTCACAAATTTTCACTTTGATTCACATGATTTTGATGTTAAAATCTACAATATATTGATGGAATATGATTAGAAATAGATTAGAATCACTTATCCAAAGTTTGTAGGTGAAAAGCCCCTCTCCAAATCGCCTCTTACCGAGTCTAGGGTTCAAAAATGAGAGAATGAGAAATGAAATTCCGACTTTCAGCCTTTATGTTCAAATGTAGTTATTGTAATTGTGAACCCTTGCAATTCCGAAGTAAATCTCGCAATTGCGGCACTGACAGGCCTGTGAAGCTCTTTACAAATGCGAAGATGGGTCCGCAATTGCGAACCTTGCTGCCCTCACAAAAGAGACGAAGACCATCGCAAATGCGAACCTAGCCCAGCTCAAGACCTCTTCACAAATGTGACCCAGGCATCGCAATTGCAATACCTGTGGGTTTTGTGCTAAGGTCGCAAATGCGACTCCATGCTGCCCTCGCAAAAGTGATGAAGACCATCGCAAATGTGAACCTAGCCCAGCCCAAGACCTCTTCACAAATGTGACATAGGTATCACAATTTCAATACCTGTGGGTTCTGTGCTAAGGTCGTAAATGCGACCCTAGTGTTCAAGATTGCGACACCAAAGGCACCAAACCCCAGATTTTGCAAACTTTCAGTCCAAAACACTCCGGAACATGTACGAAACTCATCCAAGCCCTCGGGGCTCCAAACCAAATATCCACACATCTAAAAAATTCATACGAACTGGCTCGCGTGATCAAACTACAAAAATAATATCTAAAACTACGAATCGAACACTAAAATGCATGAATTTCAAAGTAAAATTCAAGAATTTATAAAGTTACAACTAAACGTCTGAATCCTATCAAATCAACTCCAAACAACACCAAATTTGGCAGACAAGTTCTAAATACCATAACAGACCTATTTCAAGTC